GTGAAATTCAAAAATATTGGGAAATGGTATATAAAATTATTGTAGAAATAATGAATGTAGAAGTTGAGTTAACCCCTGGAATTTATTTACTGAATATGGTCCAAAAAGGTTATGTAAAGCAAGGTATATATCTAATAGTATATATTATAACGGCGGCGCGAATACTTGTGGCCTAAAATTGGAAGTCAGATAAAATACCCTCCAAAGAGGACTTAATATCAAAAATCTTAGAATTGGCACAAATGGATAGTCTGAGTTTATTACTTCAAGGTAAAGATCAAAATATACAGAATAATAGATGGATAAGAGTATATAAGTGGATAAAGGATGTAACGGCTTAATAAGTAACTAAGTAATAAGTTGTATAAGATTTGTAACTTGTTTTAACAACTCTACAAATTTATGTAATCTAAGAAAATGTTTAGTTTGCGGAAAATATGGAAAATATTTTTTTTTAAATAAGAACAACATAAAATCATCTAAAACAATGCCAGTATAACTAATACAATTTCATAAAGTGCTGAAGATGATTCGTTAGTTATTCAAGATGGCCTACTTTCAGAGAACACAAAGCTTAGCTGTCATTCCGCTCAAGATCTTTTTACAGCGCAGGCTAGACGTCAGAAACCAAGGCTAGGGGTCAAGAACCCAGAGCCAGGGCTCTATAGTGGTGGCGGCACCCTAGCTGGAAGCCTGGCGGAAGAGCTCCGTCTCGCAGGCCCCGCGGAACTGTAAAAGGTCCCACAGGGCCCTGATATCCGGGAGCTCATTCCACCAGGATGGGGCCGCCACTGAAAAGGCCCTGGAACCTACTGGTAGCAAGCCTGGCATCCTTGGGGCCCAGGAGGGTCAATCGATTTTGAGACCCCAACCCCTGTATACCCCAGAGAGCACTACGGTCGGGATCTCTTGGGCCTTAGGTGTTTTTGCTGTGCTTTTCTCCCAAAAGCAGCTTACAATCTCATTCTCCCCTCCGCCATTTTGTCCTGACAACCACCACCACTCTGTGAGCCGGATGAGGCTGAGCGAGAGAAAGAGGGACTGAGGCGAGGCCAGCCAGGGGGTTTCGAATCCGATCCTCCCGATTTAGAGAAAAGATCAGGGAGGAGAAACGGGACAGGGGTTTGTAAGGCTCGGCTCAGGGCTGATGAAGCAAGCGTTCCTTTGTATGCTTCATTTATGCCTCGCCTTTCTCCCCCATGGGGTTGTGAAGCACCTTCCATCCTCCTTTCCTCCTTTTATCCTCACAACAGCCCTAGGAGGTAGGCTAGGCTGAGAGCGTGCGACTGGCCCAAGGTCACCCAAGGAGCTTCCATGGTACAAGTGGGGATTTGAACCTGGGTCTCCTCCTCCTCCTCTTCCTCTCTGGAAGGGCCAGGGAAAAGTACTAAAAAGAAAAAAGTACTAAAAGAAAAAAAGTACTAAAAGAAAAAAAGTACTAAAAGAAAAAAAGTACTAAAAGAAAAAAAGTACTAAAAGAAAAAAAGTACTAAAAGAAAAGTACTTCTTCTCTTAATGCGTCATTGACATGTGGGACTCACGGCATTCAATAATGTTCACTACACTACTATATAATGATAGTAGAAGACAAAAGCAATTGTAGTTAACAGACTTAACAATGACAACTTGCCGAAAAGCTGAAGAACATGTAATAGAGAATGGTGTATACAAAGCAGCTGCAATGAAAAAGTACAAAATGTAAACAGCCGGTCCCGCTGCAAGTCTGAAGCTATTGAAGCTGACTACATGTTGGAGATTGGCGTCTGATTTTGTATTGAACTGTTCACAGAATATGAACAGTATGAAAACCACAGCAGCTTAAAGGGAACACCCTGATGAAGGATGAACTTTGAAACGTTGTTATCAAACATCCGGACACAACGTCAAATTATTTCGTAGTTCTCCATTGTTTAGACGTTGTAGCCAGTGTTCCCTCTAAGCTGAGTTAGTGTGAGCTAGCTCACAGTTTTTTAGCCTCCGGCTCACATATTTTTGTCTTAGCACAGGAAGGAGGGCTCCAAAGCAAACTAACTTATGCAGTAGCCAAGTCACCTGCTCACAACTTTAATGCAGGCAGCTCACAAAGTAGAATTTTTGCTCACAAGACTCCACAGCTTAGAGGGAACATTGGTTGTAGCACATACCAGTTCTCCACTGTTTTGGATTGCTAGCTATTGGGGGGGGCATGCAGATCTGCCCTCACAGAGGAGGGAGAGCTTGTACCTGAAGTTGGGGGGGGGGCTCTGCAACTTACGTAGACGCTTGCTCCTTGTGGCCCAACTGAGGCCTGCTGGGAGCAGGGGGCGGGGCTTGTTGCATGTGCCCACCCCCTGGGCTCCTTACTGCTGGAGCTCCGCTCCTGTGCGCTCCCACAGGAAATGACCCCTGGTTCTACTTTGTGAACTACTGGCATGAAAGTTGTGAGTGAGCAATTTGGCTGCTCCATAAATTAGTCGGCTCTGGAGCCATCCTTCCTGAGCTAGGACAAAAATGTGTGAGCCGGAGGCTAGAAAGCGGTGAGCTAGCTCACACTAAACTCAGCTTACAGGGAACACTGCCAGTCACTGTCCTGCAGTAGAGAAGAGGATTATGTCATTGGGTTATTCTTATAGTGAAGGATATGTATGTCCAGCGGTCATTTCCTGTGGGAGTGCACAGGAGCGGAACTCCGGCAGTAAGGAGCCCAGGGGGCGGGCACGTGCAACAAGCTCCGCCCTCAGCTCCCAGCAGCCCTCAGTCGGGCCATGAGGAGCAAGAAGCAGCCAGGTAAGTTGCAGAGCCCCCCCGGCCCGCCTTCAGGTACAAGCTCTCCCTCTCTGAGGGCAGATCTGTGCATTTCCCGCCCCCCCCCCATAGCTAGCAATCCAAAACAGTCCAGTGGAGCCTGAGCGGTGGGTGTTGCCTTCTGACACACTTCCGGTGATGTCAGGGGGTGTGGCATATGCAAATGAGTTATGCTAATGAGCGCCTGTACCTCTTTTTCTACTAAATGACCCCTGTGTACGTCCACACGATTTCACAGAAATGTGTTAATATTTATCAAACACTTGGAAAATTGAATTGACTTTTCGCAATTATATCATGGTTGTCATTGGCCAAGTGGTTAAGAAGCTGAACTGCAGGCCGGAAGGTCGGTAGTTCAGCAGTTCGAGACCCGGGTGCCGCGTGATGGAGTGAGCTCCCGTCTCTGGCCCCAGCTCCTGCCAACCTAGCAGTTAGAAAGCAAGAAATTGCAAGTAGATAAATAGGTACCACTTCGTTGGGAAGGGAACAGCATTCCGTGCGCCTTGATGTTTAGTCATGCCGGCCACATGACCACGGAAACATCTTTGGACAGCGCTGGCTCTTCGGCTTGGAAACGGAGATGACCACCGCATCCCTAGAGTCGGATTCGACTGGCTTTCGAGCAAGGGAACCCCCTTTACCTGTTGTTGTTTATTTTCCATTTACTGATCCCGTGGTCTCTCTGGCTACTGTAACTGCCTGGAGATTGGCAGCCCAATCCCCTGGCTCCTGTGTGTTCTGAGCCCTTCTCCCCACAGCTGCTAGGGGGCGTGATTTATTTTTTAAAGTACCCGAAGGTACACATTTATTGTTTTCTTATATTCCTAAACACAGACATAAACAACTACAACAAACAACATATAAACCAAGAGACTTATTACAGTTTGTTACTACACCTAATCCATCGCTTCATTATTCTCTAACATTTGTTAATATTCTCTAATTCCATTATTATGTATTACTACATACTCAAATATTATTTTTGCCATATCAGTTTAATCTTTAACTCCATTCACATTATACCAATCATATAGTCTCTTCCAGGTTTTTTGAAATGTCCACTTCTTCGTGCCTCTCATTTCCATAGTTAGTTTGTCTATTTCCGCCGCTTCTAAAAGTTTATTAATATATTCCTGTTTAGTTGGTGTTTCTTGATTCTTCCAATATTTGGCATATAATATCCTTACTGCCGTTGACATGTATACAATCAGGTATCCTTCCGTTTCCTCAAATTCTTTTGGAAAAATATTTAACAATAGCAATTCTGGAGTAAAGGGGATGTTACATCTTACTATTTTTTCCATTATACAATGTACCCATTTCCAAAAGTTTTTTTGAAACATCACATAACCACCACATATGATAAAATGTGCCTATCTTGTTTTTACACTTCTAACATTTATCTGAACAATTACCGCCTTGCTTTGCTAACCTATCTGGAGTAACATGCCATCTATCAAACATCTTATACATATTTTCTTTATAAGCAACAGCATTAGTCATGTTAACATTTTTCTCATTAACATTTTATTGGTAGGATTAAAACAATAAAACAAATATAACAATAAAAATATACATAAAGGTCATAAGAACAGTTATACATTCAAACCAACACACTAATTACAAAAATTAAGCTTTAAAGAATGATACATTCTTCAATAAATCTTTGAACGAAGTAACTTATTCTAGCCTCAAGTTGTAATTGATGCCTGTACTGTTTGTTGCTTTAGATACAACCAAGTGTCTTCTGCCCTCAAGAATATCTGTAGACATTCAATGATATATCTAACCATATTAAACACAAAGTACTACCCACAAATCAAGTTTTACCAAAGCCTACTTACTATATTTTATTTGAACCATAAAAAATCCTCACAACCATTTAACATAGTTATCCCAGGATGCTGAGATAAATTTTTTGTCTGATAGAGCTTCTAAAATTGGCATCCATTTAGCTTCGAACCCAAAATGTACGACGTTCCTTTTATTTCTGTTAACTTTATCAGTGATGCTTTCCATAATGAACTGATTCTACAGCTTCTTGTACCAAGTTTGAATGTTAGGGGGGGAGATATCTTTCCAGCAAGATGCTATTCATCCATATTTGCTCCCAATCCTCTAGTGGGCGTGATTGACCACTGTGGCAAAGGGGGACGCCAAGCCGGAAGGGTCATGGAGCTCTTCTGATAATCTTCTGCCTTTTTCTTTTCTGACAGGCCGAGCAGTCGAGTGGCCGACCAGCCTCCCCTGACTTCCGCTGCCCCTCCCTCGCACCCGCCGGTCAGCATCAAGTCTGAGCGGGCCTCCCCCACAGCCGGCTGTCTCTCAACCACCCCACAGCCCCCTCTCTGTGTCCGCCCGTCCCTCGGGGAGGCCCCCGTGGTGGACGACTACGTCAAAGCGTACCACTACTCCCTCCTCTTCTCCCGGCCCCTGGCTGAAGAACAGAGGCACCCCAGTGTCCCCGCACGCCGTTTGCAGTCCGCCGTTGAAGACTGGCAAAGATAAAGGGGCGAAATCGGCTGTGCAGCGTAAATGGGGGAGGGGTATTTGGGGAGGGGTGTGTGCGTATGTGTGCGTTCTGAGTCAGACTTTGGGCAGGGACTCCACAGGGTGGGGCAGGAGAGCGAAGACTGCTGTTTTTTGGGGGGGGTCATAAGAATACTGAACGAGACATGGTTTGCCTATAGATTCGGGATGGTTGGGGAAAACGCCTTCCTTCACCCAGGGCAAAAATGTGTTTAAGGCATTCATTGCCGTGAAACGTGGTGGCAGTGAATTCCACGGGCTTTGTAAAAATGGATTAGACCAGTTTATGCAGGAGGATTCATTGATGAATATGATCCCTGGTGGCCAAAGGAAACCTCCTGTGACAGAGGCAGTCTACCTTTGAGTATAACATGGTATAGTCCAGTGATGGCGAACCTTTTAGAGACCGAGTGCCCAAACTGCGACCCAAAACCCACTTATTTATCGCAAAGTGCCAACACGGCAATTTAACCTGAATACTGAAGTTTTGCTTTAGAAAAAACAACTCATAATTTAACATAAGATGATCCAAACAAATTAAGGAAAGCAATCCCAAATGCTTTCATTTACTTAAAATTATTTGGCAGAGAATTCGACACTTTAATGATGGTCTGGGCCTGGCTGGGGCGATGGCACGCGTACCCACAGAGAGGGCTCTGAGTGCCACCTCTGGCACCCGTGGCATAGGTTCGCCACCACTGTTGACAAACCCTGGAGGAAGGCTGTTTGCCTTTGGGCACTTTGTTGTGAATTGGGAAAAGAAGGGGGCTTCGGACCTGCAATCAATTTGGTGAGCTTAAAGCCATGTTCGTTACCTTTTTACTTTTGAGGTTTTACGATCCACTTTTCGCCTCCAATGAATTATTCTCAAAAAGAACATTTTTTTAAAAAAAGAAAAAAAACAGAGTTTCTGTCAGGGGTCCCCAGCTGTGGATTCTTGTGAGCAGAAATTCTGCTTTGTGAGCTCCTGGCATGAAAGCTGTGAGCGAGCGATTTGGCTGCTGCATGAATTGGTTTGCTCTGGAGCCACCCGTCCCGAGCCAGGGCTCTATTTGTAGAAAAAGCCCAGCAGGAACTCATTAGCATATTGGGCCACACCCCTGACTGCACAGCTCATTAGCACATTAGGCCGCACCCCCATGTTACCAGAAGTGTGGTCATCCAGCCACACCCACCTTTTGCTTGTTATTCTGTTGACCTTGTTTGTTGTCAAAACCCAGGGCCTTTTTTTGTAGCAGGAACTCCTTTGCATGTTAGGCCACACACCCCTAATTGTAGCCAATCCCAATGAGTTTCTGCTGTTGGGTGTGGCCTATTATGCTAATGAGTTCCTGCTGGGCGTGGCCAACTTGGGAGCCAGCCGGAACTCCGTTCCTGTGCGTTCCTGCCCAAAAATAGCCCTGGCTAAGACAAAAATGTGTGAGCCAAGGGCTAAAAAGCTGTGAGCTAGCTCACACTAACTCGGCTTAGAGGGAGCACTAGTCCGCAGCCTTTCTGACCCTGAGGGCACCTTTGGAATTCTGACACAGCATGGCGGAAACAACCACAAAATGGCTGCTGCGGCCTACCTTCAGTCACGCAGTGAAGAGCCTTGTGCTGTGGTGGCAGCTGCCGCCGGAGCCGTGTTTTTAAAAATCTGCGCAGCCAATCAAGTCTCCAGTGGTCCATGACCAATCAGAAGGCTAGCTGGGCAAAAGCCACACCTGGCTCCGCCCACATTCGAAAAACCCTTGGTGGGTGCCCTGAGCGAAGTGTTGAGGACCCCTGGTGTATGTTGAAACATTCAAAGAAATGTCTTTCAGTCAATTGCCTTGTCTTAATAGCGGAAAGAAATCATACAAAGAATGAAGCTTTGTCACACGTGCCTATTTTACACGAGGAAAGTCTTCACGGTCTCTTAAAATAAGCCAGGCTCTTAAAATATGGGGTAATAACAAGCGTCGTTGAGTTCCAGAGACGCAGGGCGACGACTGTCATCTCCAAAGAAGCTTTGTGTTAAATTTAATGGGTGGTTTAAAAAGAAAATGCCCACACCCTGGTGAAAAGAGGCTAGGGGAGCAGGGAGACCCCCGTGGTGTGAGGCCTTTGAGTTTTCCCTGAAAGTGGACTGTGAAACTTGCTTGAGAAAGACTTGGCAGGTCTTCAGAGTAATTTGTCTGGAAGCCCAAGAGAGTGCTGAGGAGCAGTGTTCCCTCTAAGCTGAGTTAGTGTGAGCAAGCTCACAGTTTTTTAGCCTCCGGCTCACAGGAAGGATGGCTCCAGAGCAAACTAATTCATGCAGCAGCCAAATAGCTCGCTCACAACTTTAATGCCAGGAGCTCACCAAGTAGAATTTTTGCTCACAGGACTCCACAGCTTAGAGGGAGCCTTGCTGAGGAGACGGGTAAATATTTCTCTGGCGGAAGGCTCACACCCTTTGAGTGACGCTAGATCCTTTTTGGTTTCTTACATCCACAGGTAAATTGGACACTGGTCCACCTTGTCACCCAGCCGCCCCCATCTCCCAAGCAGGTGCTTCCTTCTTCCAGAAAGTTCTGAGTGTGGAGTCTGATTGGTTTTTTTTATTTTATTTTCCCAAGGATTGTCAATATAAGGCAACTCAGCATCTGGCATTCGCTCCACATTTCCTCAACGCTGAGGAAAAGGTGCAGCTCAAAACCACATTCAGACACCCCCGGGGCCAACGCTGTACTGACTGCAAAGTCAACCCTGAATGGCCAAAAATCTATGCAGATGGTACCATAAAATCCGACGTTCAAAGGAAGTGAAAGCGGCATGGAGTGCAGTGTTCCCTCTCAGCTGAGTGAGCGTGAGCTAGCTCACAGTTTTTGAGCCTCCGACTCACACATTTTTGCCTTCGCTCATAAAGAAGGGCCCCCGAGGAAACTAGTTTATGCAGGAGCCAAATCACCTGCTCACAACACAACCAGTTTGGTGTGGTGGTTAAGTGCGCGGACTCTAATCTGGGAGAACCGGGTTCGATTCCCCACTCCTCCACTTGCAGCTGCTGGATGACCTTGGGTCAGTCACATGTTCTCTCAGAGCTGTTCTCTCAAGGATGGTTCTGAAAAGAGCTCTCTCAGCCCCACCTTCCTCACAGGGTGTCTGTTGTGGGGAGGGGAAGGGAAAGGAGTTTGTAAACCGCTCTGAGACTCCCTTGGGTAGTGAAGGGCGGGGTATAAATCCAATCTCTTCTTCTTCTTCTCTCTCAGCCCCACCTGCCTCACAGGGAGTGTCTATTGTGGGGAGGGGAAGGGAAAGGAGTTCGTAAGCTGCTCTGAGACTCCCTTGGGTAGTGAAGGGCAGGGTATAAATCCAATTTCCTCTTCTTTTACCTCCCAGGGTGTCTGTGGTGGGGAGGAGAAGGGAAAGGAGTTTGGAAGCCGCTCAGAGACTCCCTTGGGTAGTGACGGGCGGGGTATAAATCCAATCTCTTCTTCTTCTTCTTCTTCTTCTTCTTAATGCACTGATGTTAGTGTGGAGGCAACCATAAAATCCGATGCTCACAGGAAGTGAAAGCGTCATGCGATGCAGAGGGGAATTTCTGTTCCAGCATGGGTTTGGTAAAACAATAGAGGGTAAAGCCAATGCAGGATCACCCATAGGTCTCCTTTTCTTCCGTTCCATCCTCAGAGCAGCCTCATGAAGACTTCTAGGTGTCAGGGAGGCCATTGCCCTGGGGAGCTGTGTGGCTGAGCCAGAATTTGAATTCACGTCTCCTCATTCCTCATCTATTCCTCTAGCTACTCTGCTGCACTGGGGTTGGATCAGCCCTGTCGCTAGGGACTTTGGGGGGAGGGGGCCTCGGGGGGGGGCAGCTAATTAAACCAAAGTTAATTACATTAATTTAATTTGGGGCCAGCCCGGGAGGGAGGGGCCCCGGAAGAAACGGTAGGGGGTGGCGTGCTCTGCGGGCGCTGTGTTAGCGATGGGCCATTGTTTGATAACATCTCTGGGCGTATCACTGATTCCCACCATCCCCATCTCTGCAAGAGGAGACCAGAAGTTGTAATGGGAGGGGAAGTGAAATCGGGCCTTACCACATGACTTGCCCTGGCCTATAGCTGTACAGGGCTCTTTTTTGTAGAAAAAGGACAGGAGGAACTCATTAGCATAATAGGCCACACCCAACAGCCTGAACTCATTAGCATATTGGGCCACACCCCTGACAGCACAGCTCATTAGCACATTAGGCCGCACCCCCATGTTACCAGAAGTGAGCTCATCCAGCCACACCCACCTTTTGCTTCTTATTCTGTTTACCTTGTTTGTTGTCCAAACCCAGGGCCTTTTTTTGTAGCAGGGACTCCCTTGCATGTTAGGCCACACACCCCTAATGTAGCCAATCCTAATGAGTTTCTGCTGTTGGGTGTGGCCTGTTATGCTAATGAGTTCCTGCTGGGCGTGGCCAACTCAGGAGCCAGCCGGAACTCCGTTCCTGTGCGTTCCTGCCCAAAACTAGCCCTGGCTGTCCAGCGGGCTTCCTCATATCTCTGTCTTATTACCATGCAATTCCCGTCTTGGCCAGAATCGTGGGTGGGTGCCCAAGCTTGAACCCTTGCATGACGTTCCATAGGTTCAGGACCTACCACGAGTTCAAATCCTGGCATTGACTGATGTTTCTGACCAAGCGTGACTAGCTGTGGGCGAGTGCAGGCCTTTGGTGGGGCAAAGTTGGGAACCCCAATACCCACGGGGATTCACAATTAAAAGAAACAAGGGATGATGCGTTCACCTGATCTCAGCCTATTTTGAGGTGGGCTGTGGCCATCCATCGGCTAGAGGAAGCTCTCTGCACATGCTCATGGGCATTTATTTCTTTTTTTTATATGTCCAGGCTTTAAAAGCGGGCTGATTAGTCACACTGTTCGAGGGTCCCCGAACCCCTTGAGCGATTTCTGGACTCCTTCCTGGCACTTTTATTATTCTCTCTGTGTGGATTTCCTGAGCTGAATCAAAATGAACGCAAGGAAGTGTTC